AGAGCGTGGTGGAGTGGGGGTGATGATGGACTGACTGGTATTCCCGGGATAGACGGCGGATTGATCACTCACAAGGAGAACCACTGAAGCAGGGGCCACATGAGGTCAGATTTGTGTTGAGAACTCAAGTTCCTGTCGATGGGGTGAACTGGAAAGGTTCCCATGGGCTCCTAAAATATAGGCAGGGCACACCCACAACAGCATGGAGCTGAGCCAGGCCAGGCAGGAGGCCCTGCCTCTTGGTGTCAAAGCTGTCCAGTGGGCATGTTCCCACACTGGCTGGTCACTCAGGCCTCCGGCCGGGACCTAAGCTTTCCTGTCCCTGACGGGGAAGCAGAGGCCAAGCCCCATACAGGTTGGTAGGCGCAGGAAAGCTCCAGCTGTGGCTTGCTTTCCGGTGATGCAAAACCACGTGGGGGTCAGGCGTGGGTCCACCCTGCTGCCGCCTCTACTGGGGCCCGAGGCCTCGGACAAGACCCCTCCCGGTCCTTGGCCCTTCACCTGGATCAGCTCTGGGGCTCCTCAGACACCCCTCTCTCCCCATACTTCCGCCTCTGCAGTTCTTTCCTCCTGGGGTCCCCCAGAATTCACGTAAACTCACTTCAGCAAATACAGATCAAGCAGCCGCTCTCAGCAGGACACCGTCCCAGGCACAAACACCATGGATGGCTTAGAGTCTTGTGTTAATGAAAGCAAAGGATCCACAGAACCCAAGGGCCATTCTACAGGAACCAGGTGGCAGATGGATCTCAACTCGTTATTAAACTGGTTCTAAGTCTTATCTTTCTGTCTCTCCCTCTCTCTGACCAGGGTTGTCTGGTATTAGACTCTTATCTCTGCAGTGTTTTTAGTCAACTGCAAAGCTTCGATCATGCCTAGGTAGGTCTCAGAGTCTGACTCACTTGATTTTCCACATGTTTTTCTGGCTCTGGGTCCTAGAATAAGAGGGCTTTGCTGAGGGTGCTGGAAGATCACCAAGACTACGGTTCTGGAACCCATTCCAGAGCCCACCAGCATGACCTCCCGTGTTGCCACACCCGCTTCTGGCTTCAAATAGAGCTTCACTGGAGCCACACCAGGAAAGCAGCTGCTGGCTCTGCCCCATCACTTCAGGGCCACTGCCTCAGTGTCTACGGGCCTCGTCTGATGGTCTGACATCATGCACCTCCCACTCTCTGCAGTCACCACAGAGACACCCAATGCAAAGGGAGGGACCCATGGCCAGTGCCCCCTCTTGGTGTCTTCCACAGCCTTCTCTCGCTCTGTCTCCACGATGCCCACGAAGCCTATCCCAGCAGCAGCCGGGTGTTTAGACAACGAGCTCTCCCTCTCTGCTTTACAAACACGAGCTCACAGATCCTGCTCATGCTTCAGGGACAAGTCAACTCTTCTTAGCTCCCTTTGCTGCCTGGAAATAGAAAGGGAGGGAAAG